CTGTGTGCTGTGAAGAGGACAAATAATGACACCGAGGACAGCAGCAGTGGCATTGACTGAGCATGACTTTAAGTCCTGGTTGTCACCTCCACATAACCGTGACACTCTGTGGTGTAGAAACTGGTATTAATTTCACATTGAGGTTATGGAGTGGTAATGAGGTTCAATAACTCATCCAAGGTCACATGACAGGAAGAGAGGCATGACCCTGACCTTGGACCTGAGTGATACTCAGTGTGTATGCTTCCTGTGGTTCCCTGCAGCTCCGCAGGAAGGCCGACCAGTGACTTCTCTGCTCAGTGTGTGGGTGGGGGGGGATTGCAAAGGGTGGGGGGTGGGTAGCATTTGCTGGGATCTGAGTCTGGATTTTGTTTTCTGCTAATAACTTAGGAAATGTTTAATGGGAAACTATAAATTACCGTTCCCTTCTCTCACATCCTTTTTATAAACCTCGGCCATGAATTATAATGGCATGATTTATTTAATAGTTAAATGATTTAATTTAGGGATTATTTAATTATTTATTTAAAGACAGAAACCACGAGCTCGGCCAGAAGGTTAATAAGAAACTGTGGGAAAATGGGGGACTGTCCCCAGTGTTTGCCGTGGACATGTTTTTGGGGTTCACAGGCGTATCCCCCACTTCCGTGATTCACTAGGTGGTCTCGGGAGGAGTAGATCCTAGGCCAGCTGTTGGGGCCTTTTCACGAAGGTGAGGGTGTGGGCTGGGCTTTTCACCGTCGCAGAGAGAGAAGGAAAATATATTTCCACACCAGCTACAATAAAACTAGGCCATGGGGAGGCCTGCTCACTACCTTATCAGTGTAAAACCGACTGGCTCCCTCAGGTTGTCTACAAAGACAGGCAAAGAATTTATCTGAATATCAATCCATGTTGGTCTTAACGGATCCAAGGTTGGCTGGCAGGAAACCTTGTGGCCATCTGCACAGGTTTGTGAGAGAAAAGATGATGGCCATAGAGAAGTGTGTTTGATAAAGCCGGAGGGTGACCAGAGCCTAATGTGGATCTCGCCGACTTGATGCAGAAGCGTCACTTGCTGTGTGAGTGACCTGACTTCCATCGGATCGGCAGGCAGGGCCTCCTTGGCCCTGGACTTTTCTCTCTGTGGGTCTGTGAGCACCTTTCTGGGGCCTGCAGAGAGAGGCATCTCCAAAAGACAGTGCAAATCAGGGCTTCCCTGCTCCCCACCCCAGAGATCTCTACCCAAAGAGGAAAACAAAAAAGTTCTGTCCATCATCTGAAAGTGTCCAAGTTGCCCTCTGCTCAGGAGGTTACACCAGAGGGCAAAGGATTAGGGAGGAACCTTCCAGCCAGGCGCCATGGGAGATGTGCTCACTTGAGAAACCTCCCTGATGAGCCATTTGTACAACAGGACGTGCTGAGAAAAACACAACCATGGAGGTGACTCTGTCAACCTGAGGGACATTGAGCACCATGTGGTATTTCCCTCGCTGTCTTTGATGACCTTCGCTGCCCTCTGTTCGATGCTTCTGCTGCTGAGTTCTGTGGGCAGAGCTGGTACAGGTGGGTGTTGAAGAACATGGCACTGGCCAAGGGACACAGGGCTCCCAGGGAATTTCACGAAGGTCCTTTGGGAGCCGTTGTCCATCACCCCAAGCTATTTCTCAAGGCTGATCTTTCCAGTACAAACCACAAAGGGAAAAAGCCCGAACAAAGACCTCTGTGGTTTCTATTCTGAGGGGCTTCTGGGTTCACCGTCATCCTGTCCTCTGCCCCCATTGCTTTGAGAAGAAATTTTTCCAGCAGCATCGACAGATGATATGCATCAGCAGGCCTCGTGGAAGTACCTGTGGGTGCGCCGTCTTGTTCTGTGGTCACAGATACAATTCATGGGGTGAACCTTGGTGCAAAGCCCATTTTAATGAAATGCTTTGCAAGTCATAACTGACCAGATGTGATTGGCATTGTTGCTTAACAAATGATTATGAATTTACCAAGCCATGATTACATTTATATAAAAAAACTGTGCATGAATAAAAAGGAATAAATATAATTAGGATTGGGAAGGGCAAGAATGGCTGAATGAAATGTTCATCTTTTATTAATTGCATGCATTTTGCATAAGGAGATTATTTTTCCTGGTTTGGGCTAGCATCACAGAATTATTGTACATAATTGCAAGAACAGTTGGTCTATGACAATTTAATGGTATGTTGCAAAACCCTCACTTTGCAAGCTGTTCCAATCAGCTGCCTTATCTTGGTTGTTGTCCTAATTGCAAATCAGCTCTGAGGGCCATCGACACAGGCTGGCCATCTTCATGCAGCTGCTACGTGCACCTAGCTCCGGGTAATAACCTCACTGTCCGTCTCCACCGGGAAGCTTAGGGGAGGAGACTGACGGCTTCCTATGATGGCCAGTCCTCCTGGGCTTGGCTTGGCCTTTGGCCCCAGGACCTCCTCGTCTCACAGCCAGTTTCCCACCTCCTCAAAACCCTGACACAAAGCACCACAAATGGGTGCTTTCAAGTGTCCATAATTGATCACCTTAACATTCTAGGAGGTTGGCAGTGGAGTCCAAGCCTGGGTTGGTTTCTCCTCAAGGCTCCAAGGGAGACTCCTCCAGGGTTCTTCCCTGGCTTGGGCCATCTTTGTTTTCCTTGTCTTAGAGAAATGTCACCCCAATCTCTGCCTTCTTCTTTCATATGGCATTGTGTGTGTGTGTGTGTGTGTGTGTGTGTGTCCAAACTTCCCCTTCTTATAGAACCCCAGTCACACTCGCAGCCCACCCTGCTGACCCCATCTTAACTATCCACATGCGCAGTGGGTTGATGTCCACACATGGCTGCACCTTGAGCTCTGGGGTCAGGACCCCACCCTGTGAATTTGGGGCACACAACTGCAGCCACCACAGCTGGTCCCCTGTGGCAGCTTCTCAGAGGCCCAGGGGGCTTGAAGGTGGATGACAGCTGAGTCCTTGAGTGGAGCTTGCTGACTGCACTGAATAGGACCCCACAGGGAAACCTGCAGTCCCCACAGGGTGACGGACAGATGCTGCAAGGACACCCACCCAAGGAAAGGAGCTCTGCTTTGGCTCTTGGCCTGCCAGCTTCGACCAGGGGGTTTGGGAACAAACACACACACACACACACACACACACAACATCACCGTCACCTGAAGATGATGTCAGAGCTGGGATGTGTCTATAAGACAAGGAATGACAGAGAGGGCCAGAAGGAGGAGGAAGAGGGGAGGAGGAGGAGGAGGGGGAGAAAGGGAGGAGGAGGAGGAGGGAAAGGGGAGGGGGAGGGGGATAGGAGGGGGTAGGAGGGTGGGTAGGGGAGGGGAGGGGGTGGGGGAGGGGGGAGGAAGGAGAGGAGGCAGGTCTGCTCACTGTGAGCTGCACAGGGAGGACATGCAATCCCAAGGGATCCCCAGCGTTGCCTGAATGAAATCCTGTCATTAAAACCTCAGAGGGAAAAGGTGGTATTTTGAACTTGCTATAGTCTCTTAATCATGCTTTAAATATATATGTGCAATTAAATTAATAAATTAATTGGCAGCAATAAAACATTGGATGTTTCATTTACAGTCAAAAACTACTTTAAGAATGCTCATTAGAAAAACGTTTCCTCCAGCTAATAACTTTCCAAACTGTTTTCCATAGGATATGTATAGAGCTTCTGAAAAAAAAAAGAAAAGCCCACATTTAAATACACCTAGCACATGTTGGATTAAATCACATCAAATCCATTTTAAATAAAATACACTTTTCAAAGCCAACTGTCTTGAATTCATAGAAAAATCAGGAGGTAGTGCAGAGTGCACACATTGTGAGCCTCAGCTGGCCTCCCTGGCTGGCCTCCCTGGCTGGCGTCCCCAACAGCAAACTCCTGCAGCAGTACTGCACACTTGTCACCACTAAGAAGCCACCTCTGATGTGCTGCTGCTAACCATTGCCACCGATGATTACTTTCCTTCATGTTTATCCAAAGTCCTAATGACCCATGTGGCATTTGGCTGTCAGGCCTCCCCGGCTCCTCAGGGCTGTGGCTGTCCCTCAGGTCTCCCTGTTTGGACGCCCATCGCTCTGAGGGGCCCTGGCAGGGGTCTCATAGGCTCTGCCCTTGCTGTGATTCCCTTAGTGCTCTTCTCACGATGGTGAGGGGTCTGTGGTGCTGGGGAGGAAGCCTAAGGAGGGGACTTGGGCTGTTTCTTTTCATCTTACCACAGGCGCACTCCAACAGCATGACGTCCGCTGGCCACATTGACCTGGGTCCCTGGCTGAGCATGTGAACTGAGCTTCTCTAAGGTAAAGAACGCCCCCGCCCTTCCCACGCCGCTGCTCTGGAAGGCACTTCCCACCCAGGTCTCCCTGAGGAGCATGGGCTGCAGGGCCCTGACTCGGGGTGAGAGTCTGGGTTAATGATCTGCAAAGCTGGTGCGTGAGTGAGACTCTCTTTGTTGTTATTGTAGGGAGGGCCTAGCCAGCTGCACACTAATGTGACTGTCAATCTGCATCAAGAAGAGACAGTGCCAGATTTAATTTGACCACAGAGCATTTGTAGGCAGGTGTCTTGTGAATTAGTGTCTCATAGAAGCCGTGATTCATGTTACGTCAAGCCAAAGGCAGGCACGCTGCAGGACGTGCTCCAGAAAACAAAGCGTCAAAATTTTAAAAATTATTAAAATAATATAATATTACTGTAAGCTACATATATTACCATGTATGTATATATTATGCATAAATGTGTTATGATATGTTGGATTAAAAAAGGAAATAAGGGGCCAGCCGGGTGTGCTGGCCCAAAACTGTAATCCCAGCAGCTTGGGAGGCTGAGGCAGGAGGATCACAAGATCAAAGCCAGCCTCAGGAACTCAGTGAGGCACTAAGCAACTCAGTGAGACCCTGTCTCTAAATAAAATACAAAATAGGCTTGAGGATGTGGTTCAGTGGCCGTGTGCCCCTGAGATCAATCCCCAGGATCCACCCACCCTCCAAAATAAGTGACTAAGACGTAAGATGAGGGTTTTTAATGTATTAGCACATGCTGGGAACAGTCTCTGTAGAAATGTATTAGGTAACACTGTTTAAAATAAAGGTGGAGCTCCAACAGTCTCAAAAATCACTCAGGGTCCCACAGCCTGTGATTCCAGAGTCAGAGTTTGACCTGAGTTTCTGGGGTTAGACCTTGGGTTCTTCCTGCTTCTAGCCAGCTCTCTGCCGACAGGGGAGGCCCAAGTCGGGAGGGTGTTTCCCTGGCCCGGCCGGCAGGAGAAAACGGTCCACGAGGACTGCTGTACAGACAGACCACAGAGAGTTCACCCAAGGAAATGGTTTTTCCCATACTGGAGTGTTTATATCACCAGGTAATGTTTCTGCTACAAGTAATAAAGATCCCCGTGTCGGTGTCATGAACACACAATGATGGTTTTATTTCCTCATGCAGGACTAAATCCAGAGGTCAGAGTTCGTGCAGAACCTAGACCCCTTCTCGCTTCTTTTCCCAACACCTGTAGCCTGTGGTTTTTATGTTTTTTTCCCTATGGTTATAAGATGGCTATTCCACTTCCAGCCATCACATCTACATTATTGGCAGGAGACAGGAAGGCTAAAATAAATTTCTCCACAACCTGTGAGTGCTTACTTGAAGGGATGCCTTCTGTAGGATCCTCCACATAAATGTTAAGTGGCCTGAATTAGGTCACAGTGCTATAACTGATCACAATGGAAGTCAAAAAGATGAGTATCTTGCTGTCTGTCCTCTATAACTAAAAAGCAAGAGTGAGGGTTTGAGAGTGGCTTTGGAGTCTGTCATCCGAAGGGTCTGTGCTGGGTATTGCATCCTAAGTGAGAGAATCAGAATCAAACTGACTCCAAGGCAGTCAGTCTCGTGTTGCATTTCGAGCCTCTCTCCTTTGTGTTCACAGATTCCTTTGAGTACTAGTGTCAACAGGTTGCCTCCAGTCAGCTGTGGTCACCAGTGTAGAAGTGTCCCTGCGATCACTCTTAGGATGCATCTTCTGAATTGAAGGGGGCAACTGTCAACATGAAGGTAGAGGAGAAAAATGGTGCCAATTGTGGGCTCCATACCTGGTGATTAAGAGCAGGGAAAACAATCTGTGGGCATCCAGAATGATTAGCAGCGTCCCTAGGAACTCACACCTGGGCCCCACTCAGCAGCAGACACAGAACTCCTGGAGGCCCCGGCGACTAAGACTGACACCATTCCGCCATTTGTTCTATGGAGGAAACTGCAGAATTTAAAAGACAATCTCATTGCTGAAGAAGCTGCCGCACACCCGGCTGTGAGTAGATGCTTCATCAGCTCCAAGGAGCCTGGTGAGGTTTATCCAGGACTGGGAAGGTGGGTGGCAAGCACACTCCGTGCTGGTTTGAAGGATAGCAATGTCCCCCTGTTCCTCCAGGGTGTCATTGTGCCTGTAGATCCTTACCTGAGGCAAGTCAAGATGGGCAGTGCAGAGGCTGGAGGATCAGGGAGGCTGCACGTGTCGCAGCTCGTACAAAAGCCTGTTCACTAGCTTGTCAGTAAGTCAGAAGCCCCAGGAGGGAGGGCAGGCGGTGAGTGGGGTGTTGACATTCCAAGCTTCCCTCCAGAGCTTCCCGGGGCTCCACGGCCAACCCAGGCTTCTGAACTCCTTTACCATCAAGAACAGACAGAGCAGGAGATTGAGAGGAGAAAGCAACTCCAAAACAGCTCCAATTCAGAGATGCTCCTCGGGGACAATTGAAACTCAGGGATTTGTAGTATTTTCTACCTAAATCTTTACCCTTAGGTCAAAGAGAAGCGCCATCCTTCCGTGAATACCCTACAGCTCTGTTTCTAAGATTTTTACGACATGCAAAGTTGACAGGAAGAGGTAGGAGTCAGAAAAGGCTTTTGAGGGTTGGCTGTTTGTTGAACAGGGCATGAGCAACTCCCTGGGGGACAGAAGTGCTCTATGTTCTGGTCTGTGTGACCTTGTGCTGGGCCACTGGGGAGCTGAGGGCCTGGGGTGACCCAGGCCAGCTCTTGGGTGCTCACAGGCAAAGGCAGAGGGAGTGGAACTGTGGTTCCTCCTAGAATCTCACCCAGGCCTGAGATCAGCTGCTCTGCTCACACCCACCAAAGGTCACATGGTGTTATGGTTTGGATAGGAAGGGTCCTCCGAAGACTCTTGTGGGGAAGGGTCGGTCCCTAGTGCAGCAATGAACACAGGCAGTGCCCTTGGGAAGTGAGTGGATCATGGGGGTTCCAACCTCATCAGAGGATTAATCCACACAGGGATTCCCAGCTGTGTGGACTGTGGGAGGTGGCGGAGGTCGTGGGAGGTGTTGGAGGTCGTGGGAGGTGGTGGAGGTCTTGGGAGGTGGTGGAGGTCGTGGGAGGTGGTGGAGGTCGTGGGAGGTGGGGCCTAGTTCACAGGAGTGGAAGGTGTGGTCAGGTTGCACTGGTCCTTTTCTGTGGGCCTGTCTCTGTGCAAGGTGCACCACAGGAGTGACTCTGTGTCTCATGGCACTTCTGAAAGTGAGGCACCATGAACACCACCACTAAGTTACGGGAGGTGAGAGCTCCAGAGAGATCAAGCAGATTCCTGGGGCCACGCAGATCTGGTGAGTGAGGGTGCTGAAGGCTGGACCTGTCATTGACTGCAGACCCCTGCAGGCCGCCTTCCCCTCACCTGTCCTGCCCCAGGGCCTCGTGTGAGCACCTGCATCTTGCTCATTTTGACAGGCGTTATACTGAGTATCTTTTATGTGCCAAAGCGTTGGGAGGTGACAGAGGCACAAGATCCTGGCCCATGAGGAGCTCGTTTCCTAATATGGAGGGTGCGCTGGACCACAGGCAAATGCAGAAATCAACCACTTCAACCAGCCTGTGGGATTCCTACAGGAAGGCACAGAAGGGAGCAGCTCCAGGGACCGGGAGAGGCGAAGAGAGCTGACTTAGGCAGTGGGGCAGGAGGGTCTCTAGGAGGAGGTGACCATGGGTTTGAAATGGGAGCGCTGAGAAAGACCCAGCACTGCCGCATCTTGGGGACACTGGACAGGCAGGAGCGAATGCAAAGCAGGGGCATGTGCCAAAAGTGAAGGTGGGTTGGGGGGCTGGGGCCTGTTGAACGGGGGGGAGGAGGGGCGTGAGGAGGTGAGGAGGAGGCCGGGTCCAGGCTGGGCGGCCGGAGGTGTTTCTCATTTCACCTGATGTGTTTGGAGGTGGTCTTGGGCCCCAGGCAAGCTCCTGAGAGCTGGCACCTTGGAGCCTGTGTTTGAACTTCTCAGCACCTGGTTCTGCTCACAGGCAGGTGCAGTAACTGCTGCAGAGGGTCTTCTTCCTTGGGGTCATCACTGTGTTGAGTTGTCATTAGGAAACCCAGCTCACATCTGACCCCTTACTTTCCATCTGTTTGGACCTGTGCAGGGAAACCAGTTGACCTCTCAAGGCCTCGACCTCTTCCCCTGTAAAACAGGAGTCCACACTTCAGCTTATGTCTTGGCACCTGCCTGTGTGACCCTGTGTCTAGAAGCTGTGGGGTTTTGAGCAATACACAAATACAAATGACTGCCATTACGTCTGAGTGCAGGGTGTGCACTTGACCTTGGGCGGTGGACTATCCTGTGGCATCACTGTTAGGATGGGTTGCGTCTCACTGCGAAAGCCATGTTCGTCCAGACAATGATGGACGTCTCAGGGCCCTGCAGGGAGGGGCACCGAGGTTGTGGAATTCCTATTGTTGCCATAAAAATCATCACCGATTTCATGGCTTGACCCATGTCCCAGTCTTGGGTGTTCCATGCCCTCGCTCATTGAGAAGCATGGCAAGTTAGACAACGTGTCCCACACCCTGCATCTAACAAGGAAGGGACCCACATCCATGCTGAAGGCTTTCAGATGCCTGGGGGCGAAATGGCCCTCGCACAGGGAGGAAGAGAGGATGGCATGCAGGACATTCAGGTGATTAGTATGAACAAGAATCAGGCAAGGGCAACGATTCAACCAGCTAAATGTCCTGTGCCCTTGAGTTCACCTTTGTGGGAGAAGGTGGTCCCTCCTGCTGACTTAGGAAAGACAGATGGAAACAAATCTCAAATCATTCTTCTCCCATGGGCTGACACCTTATCCAAGCTGACTTTGAGGCTGAATGACCACTTCACTGTGGGGACGCAGGACAGATTGTAGGGCCCCGTGGAGGGCTGCTGGCCTTCTCTTTCCCCCAACCCAGGGCTCATCTCCGTGTCTCTCCCTCACTTCCCTCTTCCTTTCCTGTCCATCCCTGTTACATCGCTGAGTTTGCTAGCTCACAACAAATAACCGTACATGGAGACCCCTGCAGGCAAGGATTCTGCCCCTGCATGCACGGGTCTGTCCAGCTGTGGTGCACTCCTGCCCCATCTCAGCCCAGTGCCCTCTGCCTGTCCAAGCTTCCGTCTCTCTGGTCTGACATGCATGAGCCTCTCTGAGGCTCAGTGCACTGCCCTTCTCGTCCAGGTAACACCAACCACCCTTTCTATCAGGAAAAAAATAGATAAGCTCTATAAATCTGCAAAGCGGCAGAGCTGTCATGTTTGCATACTTACCGATTCTTGACTTTTGAGTAACCTGGAAGGGACTCATAGAGCATCTTGGGATAAGAAAACGCTTGTGCACAGACACAACATAGATGTGTAAAGGAGATCCCTGCCCTTTCCACACCTCGTCTGGTTGACAGAGGGACAGTGTGGCCTCTCTTGCTCCATCTGTGAAATGGGGTGGCAGC